GCTTCCTCATCTGCCGATGCGGGCCCCTCGCGCACGGACTTTGAGCGCAGTTCCGACGCGAGCTCGCTGACGGAGGAAGACGACGACCCGTATGCCCGTGCCCAGCCTCAGAGTTTCGGCGGCGAGGACGACGACGACGGGACGTATCCGAGCCAGGACGAGCCGCTCGTGCCTGGTCTGTACCATGCCCTGTTTGCGTTCGAGCCAGAGGGAACCGCGGAGATGGCGCTCGAGGAGGAGCAGGTGGTCAGAGTTGTAGCGAGAGGAGGCGGGGCCGGGTGGGCCGTGGTTGTGCGCGATGAAGGCGGCCATGCGCTCATCCCCGAGAGTGATCTGGAGCTGGTACAGGCGGACCCGGTTGCGGCTGGTGCATAGAGGAGAGACTTATTGGGACAGCTGGAGATCGGAGGTCTGCGGGCGGTCTGCGTTCACGTATGTTCAAATGGAGTTCGCCAGTCATTTGTAAACATGAAAGGTGTGTCTCTTGTAAGTGGTAACGTCGCATCCTTACCTTGCACGTCAACTGACCATGGTTGAACCCCTCAAACTCCACGGCAACAAACAGCGTGTTTGCCTTTGCATCGCGCTCTCCCTCTACCCGGTAAAGGCCGATATTCGCGCGCAGATATCGGTCATGCATCATGCAGCGACCGTGTCAGCTCGGCACTAACGATGCAACAGATCACGACTCACGATCACGGTCGCATATCCGAGGATGCTTATCGGTCCGCGCGGGGAGGAAAAGATTCCTCTGCAAGCAGCGCTAGCTTCGACCAGAACACGGCGCATCTGACATTCCACTGTGAGTACTCACCTGTCCCTTCCAGTGCCCGATCTCCGAGACGGCAGCCAGTGAGTATTCATTCAATGGCTCGCCGCTGACCTGACAGATACAAGATTCAAGATTACCTGGCCGGCTCGCTCACCAACCTCCATGGGATGCGATATCCTGATGCAATCCTCCACCGTGCATCGGCCCCAATGCCCTGCCTGCAAGACAGATTCACAATGAGCTCGGATGTCTGGCGTCGACGCTAACACCAGACCGTGTGGTGCCAGTGCGGCTGAGCTGATGAGAAGATGACTGTGCGTAGAGGCCAACGCGGGCACGACGAACGCATGCGTGCCGCCTCCTTTTCCTTACGCTTTCGCTCACACTCGCTCTCTTCTTCCGCACGTTCGCGGGCACCGTGCGTGGGCAGCGAACTGAGGCTCATGCCGGGCATGACAGCCGCAAGCTCGCAGGATCTGATGCAGGCCTGGTCTCAAGAGGGCACCAGCTGAGCGCCCTGGCCTGCCGCTTTCCATGCATATCTCTGTGCGTGAAGTTCATGGTGGCAGCTGGCACGACGGCTGAGCACGATATAACGGAAACGTCTCAAGCGGTCCTCACTCGAGAACTTGCACGTCGCAAAGAGCACGCGCGGTATCTGTGCCATGCAAAATGATGGCAGCGCCTCGTAGACTCGCGACCTCACGGCTAGTCAACTGCTCCCTCGGACGTTCTTTCAACGTCCCCGTCGCATCGTGTTCAGTCAGATGTGTGACCATCGGTGCGGAGAACATTGGTCGTGTTCATGTATGTGAGAATTCAGGTAATCTTCGCATTTTCTCGATTATTTTACAGTATTCTGGTGCACATCGCTAATTATTGAATAAAACATGGTTATATTTAAGATGATGCAGCGGCTAGAGGGCCAACCGAGCTCGAGATACACGCGCAAACGTA